GCAACACATATGCACTGCCCCAATAGCAATTCACTTCCTCCCAGTGCTAACATATTCATGTCCCCCAGCACACATTAATGCTCCCAGTGACTTTTTACTTCCCAGCCAGGAGACATACTCACCTGTTCCACTCTCATAGTTTGATTCCCCAGTTAGATGGGGTTCATAAAGCTGTAGTTTCACTGTGGTTTAAGCACTGCAGGCTTTTTCTGAGAGTACTCGGCTGCATTTTGCCAGCAATAAAAGGTAATCTAGGTTAAATACAATTCAAAACGGCCTTTGCCAACATTTTGCCAACACTTGTAATGGATATTACGAAAAGGAACGAAACGAAACGGAACAAATTTTTTGACGGCGCACAAGTCTATTATTTTTTAATAAAGGCCTATGCATCTAAATTAGCTCAAATATGTGTATGCAAATTGTATGTTCTTTTAATAAAACCAACAACTAGAAAATGAAAATTTGTTTTTATGTAGTCACCTCTGAAAAAATGTCAATGTCATTGCCCGCCAAGGTTTTCTTTTCCGATCATTTAGCAAAAGGGAAACACGCATTTTTAAGCACCAATTATTCAGAATTACTGTGAAAGGTTAGATCACATTTGCATTACCTTTCATCCCAACGTGCTTAGAGATAAACCATATTATCATGAAAATAGAGAAAGTTTCTTTTTATTGATCAGCAGGGATGGAATGTCTGTTTAGCTCTTTTTTTTCACATGAAATATTACAGCAGATTCACAGTGCCATCTTGTGGAAAATAATATTATTGAGAACTTTTTTACTCTTTTAAAAGAAACACTGTCATAAAAACAACTGTATTCTCAAACCTGTAAGAGGCAAATACAAGTAAAGATAGAATTATGCATATATTTTTTTCATTTTACATGCATTTATTTTTATTTTCTCCACCTTTACAAGCAAACAAAGATGTCCAACAAAAATAAGTGTGACAGCGGTTGGGATAAACTATAACATGGCCATGGATATTAACCCCTTCATGACTGAGGCCCTTTTTTCATTTTTTGCACCCATGTTATATTCCACATTTTAGGCCTGAAAATTACGTAAAACCCCCAACATTATATATTTTCTGAATGCCAAGACCATATAGAATAAAATGGTGGTAGTTGACAATTTTTATGTTGCGCAATATTAGCGCAACTCCTTATTAAACCCCAAAATTTTGTGACAAATTTAATTAAATGCCCCAAAACACAACAAATTACCCATTTTTTTAATTAAATATAAAAGATGAGGTTACAACGAGTAAAACGATACCCAACATGCCCAGTTTACAGATTGCGTGCGACCGTGAAACGGCGAAAAACTGCAGTACCCCAAAAAGTCAA